GTGTCCGGGTATTCCCGATGTGGTGGCCGACGCTCTGTCTTGGTCATTATTGGGCATACTTCGGTCAGAGGTGTCACGGGGTCGATGTTAGGGCAGTGGAGGTGGTCGCCTGGTCCAATGGTCTGATGAAGCTGGTCCGTGGGTCGCCCTATGAGGTGGCGTGGGGCCCACTCCAGTATGGCGGGAGTGATCGGGACGGATGGGGACGTTTCCTTGTAGGTTCCGGGAGTGGACTGCTCATCTACATGTTTGGTTCTGTCTGTTGAGGGCGCTAGGGGTGATTTCTGTGATTGGCAGGGCTCGGCTTCCTGTTCAGGTTACAGTTGTCGGCAAGTGGTGGGGTGTTTTGGTGGACGGACTTATTTCAGGTTTCGCCGCTCGACTGCTGTTGTCGTTGGGACGGGTAAGTCAGTTGCGGTGTGGCTGATGCGTCGATGGAATCTGTGCGATTCTTGGATGTTTAGGGGTCGACGTGCCCTGGCTTTTCCGCTTTCTCCTAAGGTAGATGGAATGCACGGGGTAATGGTTGGGCTCCTAACACGGTGTAACGGGTTCCCAGGATGGCCTGACAAATTCCGTTCTGATCGGAGGCAGTGCAGGTTTCCATCAATTGCCTGAAAGTTGGTGGGGAGTTCGAGGGGCATTTATTCTAGTTTGGGATGGCTACGGTCGCCGCCAGGCTTGGCGTGCCTGCGCCAATGGTTCAGGGGCTCGAATTTTGGGAGTCAGGGTGGTGGTTCCTTCAGGTTCACCCTGCTGGTCTCCGAATGGATTTCTCACCGCGGTTATGGTCCCCCCTCACCCCCCCGGAAAGGGAGGTTCATTGGTCTGGCACCAGTTACATGGTGGGGGTGTGGTCCTCCTCGTACGGGGTTGGCTGTCCCGCCTCTTGGACTTACCAGGGGTTTTTTGTCATCTCTGGGTGGATTGATATGGGTTCGGTGATGTATGGGGTGCTCTTCAATCTGAGGGTGCTCTTGAATCTGGACATGTTACACATTCTGTTTCTTACCAGAGGTTCTCAGGGGCCGGACTGAGGCTATCACCTGTTCCTGTTGGCAGTGCGCTCAGCAATGTGAGTGCCCTGGTGCACTGCAGTCGGGAATCGGACGAGGTGGGTTTCTTGTTTTGGCTTGGGGGATTCCAGTTCACCTTGGGGTGTGGCCGGATGTGGCCTAGTTATCTCGAGGGGGTGGGTGCGCTTGCTGGAGGTCGGATGAGGCCTATGTTGATGGTGCACTGAGGACGACTCCGGCTGGAGATGAAACGCGATTGCTGCTAGATCAAAGGATTGTATCTGGTATTTTTTCTTGTTTCCTCTGCAGTGTTTTATTTAGGCTTTGTGCCTAGTATATTTTACTATTTATACACTGCATATTGTCCCTGTTTTAATTGTTTATTTGTGCAATAAATTTTGGAGTCTGCACTTTGTATCCTGTGCTGCTCTCCTCAAGGATATCGTTTAGCCTTTTTAGGCACTCTCCTGCACATTATATAGAGCCTGGGACGGCTTTAAATCCTGTGAGTTTTACGCTACATAAGGAGTCTAACATTATATATATATATATATTTTGCGCTATGTTGTGTTATTGGATTGATCACGAATGGTCATTTAATTTCCTGGTGCAGTACTTATTCTATGTTAATCTGGCACTGCTAGCAGTGGTGGAACAGGCCATGGCTGGTTGTGGTGGGGTCCCCCGCTGATTTTAGGTGTAAAACAGCGTGGTTGTGGCGGGGGTATGTCCTTGCCAATTGAGTTTGAGGGGTTATGTTTAAGTATATGGAATGAGATGAACAGGTTTTTAAGGTCTCAACCTCCCCTGCTTCAAAAGGTTAACATTAGGTTGCCTGAGGTGTCGTGCCCATCGAGCGTGGATAAGGTCGGCTGATGGCGGGCATTGGAAAGATATGATTTTATGACGAGGGGGGAGGTGAGAGGAAGTGGTGATTAGGAACCACTGTATGTTTATTGGCAAGGACGGTTGGGTCACTGTATAACACTATGTGTGGAGTTATATATGTATATATGTTAATTTATGCTTATTTATGTCTAACGTTTTGGTTACAGAAAAAGAAGAGATTTAATAAATAAAGTTATGGATGTGTTATGCAGTAATTTAGTTTGTGATAATAAATGCTGTGGCCTGTTCATCCATACTAAGTGGTCTGTCATTATTGGGGGGTTGAATGGGGTTAGTTTTGTTATAGGCTGCATCGCAATTCCCCACTACGTACATACATGGAGTTCCAGGCTGCTGTGGCTAGGTGCCTGTCATTGAAATTGTCTGTTCACGGCGTAGAGAAAGGGGCTCCCCCTAGCCCTTGAGTAGCGATTGTCAGCTTTTCTCTCTTCTACCTCCCCTCCAAAAAGCACTCTCCTAGGTGGTAAATTGCAGGAATGCTGGTCAGTTTCACCAGGCAGCAGCACTGCACCAGGGTGTCTTAGAGTACCATAAACTTAGCGCCTTTTCCTGCTTGAAGTATTGTGGCTGTCCCGGGCTCCTGGAATAGTTTTACGGCCTGGAGATGTAGCGTTCAATGCTGTAGGTGCTTGGAGAGGGTAGGGAAAGCCAGGGGGTGTAATTTGGGAGTCAACCGCCAGTTAATCCACGAACATGGTGCAAGATCTGCCACAAAGCAGAATAGCGCAAACATCAAAGTGCGAGTGCATCGCTTACAGTATGTTGAACTGTACATCTTCTGTGGATCAAAATCCTCCAATATAGCGCACAGGAAATGAAGGCACAAAAGCAGCACACAATAGTGAAAGTACCTCTGAGGTAACATAGAATGTGACGGCAGATAAGAACCATTCGGCCCATCTAGTCTGCCCAATTTTCTAAATACTTTCATTAGTCCCTGGCCTTATCTTATAGTTAGGATAGCCTTGTGCCTATCCCACGCATGCTTAAACTCCTTTACTGTGTTAACCTCTACCACTTCAGCTGGAAGGCTATTCCATGCATCCACTACCCTCTCAGTAAAGTAATACTTCCGGATATTATTTTTAAACCTTTGCCCGTCTAATTTAAGACTATGTCCTCTTGTTGTGGTAGTTTTTCTTCTTTTAAATATAGTCTCCTCCTTTACTGTGTGTATTTAAATGTTTCATATCCTCCCTTTAGTGTTAAAGGTATAAACTTAATCAAAAATAAACATTTTATATTTGATTAATTAAAGATATATATTTTATAACTATAACTACTATTATTACTAATAAGGTCATATTCCGGCCCCGGTCTCACTAAGCAGTGTGCGAGGGCGGGGGAGCAGAGACATCACAGCTCCCTATTCCTGCCTACTATTTGAGCAGCTAGCCCCCACCTCCACGACCACCCAGCATGCAGCCTTCCCCCATAATCCTCCAACTTGCTGCCCACCTGAAGGATCCCCTAGCCGGTCGCCCACTGGACCCCACAGGTATCAATACAAGCAATAACGTGTGAGTCTGTCTGTCAGTGTGAATGTATGGGTCTGATATTGTGTGTGTGTCTGTCTTTGTCATGGTGTGTGTGTCTGTCTGTGTCATGGTGTGTGTATGTGTGTCTGTGTCATGGTGTGTGTCAGTCATGATGTGTGTATGTGTGTGTGTCTGTCTTTGTCATGGTGTGTGTGTCTGTCTGTCATGGTGTGTGTGTCTGTCTGTGTCATGGTGTGTGTGTCTGTCTGTCATGGTGTGTGTGT